ACAAAAGGGTGGTCACGCTGCCCTCCAAGTACTACAGGAAGGGGGATATCACATCTTGGATGAGCTCCATGTGCTCATACTTTGAGGTACTACGAACACCGCAGGAAGACCGATGTAGTTTTATTGAACTCCAAGTTGTTAGTGTTGGCTATGAAAGGATTGACCTGACTGAGTGGCTGAAACTGACTCATGTACGTACTCTTGAGGACCTCATCGCGCAGTATCAAGACAAGCACGCTGCGCTTAAGGGCCAAAAGTGAAGGACTTCCATGAAGGCTTTGAAACAACATTTCACTACTCTGTTCACTTCTCCAAACCTGGGATGGACTGACGTATCTTGCATGGATGTCGTTATGGGAGTGACCCCTAAAAATTATGTCTCCCGGCTAGGACTTAAACCACCAGTCTCCCGCCCAGTCAAACTTGTTGCTCTTCCTGAATTCATGGAAGGCCTGGGCAGGGTTGGTAGAGGCCGGGTAGAGCCTCGGCAGAGGTGCGGAGGTCGTTCGTTTTGAAAATGACAAGGAACGACCAGTGAACAATATCACGAGTTCTCAAGAGAAAAAAGAAAACAGAAAAGCAAAAAAAGAAAAAAAAAATGTTTATCCTTCATGCGTGAAAAAAAAAAAAAAAAACAGGTTGTTGTATCTCATATTAGAAACGAGAATGGATCTTCCTCTATAACATTGATAGATACAGCGACGATTACTCCTGTGCAGGGACGAGAGGTAGGGGATAAAAAAAGGCAAAAATGCCACTCGCCATCATTTTTTTTCCTTCTGCACGTACCTTTCCTCTGACAAGGCGTGTTATTCGCAGCTCGTCAGAAATTTGCGGAGGCCCATACACACCAGCCCTCCTGTCAATGTGCAATACGGGAGAGAATCTGCCCTTAGAACTTGGCTCTATACAGGGAATATGAGTATGGTCCTGTGCAAGGATGGCCCGCATAAATCAAGAAATGTTTCCAAAAAAAAAAAAAAAGACAGCCACGGCCTAGTCTTTGTTGTCTTCTTCTCGTGATGCTATAGGTGGAGTAATAAACGGTTACTCTGACAAGGCGCACTTCCCGGGCACGTGAGAAAAAAACACCCTCAGGGCCAACTTGTACGCTACTACTCATTACGGCTGTATCAAACCAGAGATACCTTTTGTGTACATTCAGCAGCGGGCTATGGTTGGAAAAGGCCCGACTGAGGGCATACTCACACTACTACTGCCTAGAATGTGTCTGACCACCATCACGGCCCGATTTTTTTTTTTTTTTTTTTTGTGCCTTGCCAGCATGGACGAGTGCATTCCACATTCACAGGAAAGGCCCTCACTGAGGGCATACTCACACTAGTGCTTTCCATAATGTATCTGACCGCTTTTGCAGCGAAATCTATGTTTCCTTTTTTTTTTTTTTTTCACTGCTTTCCTCCTATTACACGTGCTCGGGAATGCCCTCACCCAGGGCATTAAAAAAAAAAAAAAAAAAAAAAAAAAAAAGTAGAAGGGAATGGAAAAAAAAAAAAAACACTCTCAGTAGACATTCTGGTAGCCCAACGTTGAAGGACCGTTCCCCCGTTGTGTCACAACTTTACACCAGTTGCCTCCTACCTAAACAAAGAGCTTTGGTAGCTCGAAAAAAAAAAGGTCCGGAGGAGTGCTTTGGAAGGTACTGGTTGTTTAACGAGCATATGACTTGGCGAGAGCTCTTATCGCATCTAGTCAACCTAGAGGCCAAAGACCTTGTCAGGCGTGTAAAGACACCAGCTGCATGTAAAACTTTACGATGCAAGCGGTTTGGAAGCAGCAACCAACTTGCCCTGCATAAACATCAGGAGGCTGAGGACCAGTCCTATGCGGATGATCTGTCTCTAGATGACGACCTAGAGCCAAACTCCAATGTGGGTTGTTCTACATCATCCCTTGAATCTGACATGAAGAATAAAGAAAAATGTAATGCCTTTAGAAATACTGCTTCAAGCAAGTGACCTAACCGCAGTTCAGGTAAGGGAACCATAACACACCTCCCTAAGAATGCAAAGATTCCTGAGAAGTCGGAGGATGCTTCCACCAAGCCTTGGGATGCCCTCTGCATCAGTCAAACGGAATTGTAAAGAAGATCAAAAGTGCGTGTATGCTTGCATTGTCTAAAGTTTGGGCATGATGTGTAGGATTGTTACCGTTTGTAGGGAAACAAGCAAACGTCGTAGAAGAGTTATCAGCACTCTCTACAACAAGAGAAGCTGAACAGTTAGTTGCAGGCCCTTTCAAAGAGCCTGAATCTGACCAACAACCTGCTCTTGAAGCCCGAAGCGATGCTGGATCCAAGGCTGCTGCAGTCAAAGTACTTCACACCGAGCCTTGGGAGGAGACTAAGGAAGTCAACTTCCATTCTCACCTGGAACATTGGCTACAACTCAAGCAGCAGCGCCGTATTCAAGTGGGTGTGGAGCTGATCTTCTTTAAGTTGCTCATCAACCGCCGATGCATCCGTGTTTTGATTGATAATGACTCCACAACTAACTTATTTTCTCCTAACGGGATTCATAAGGTAGGCCTGGGAATGAAGAAAGTGGAAATGCAGAACCCTTGTCAGACCAGGTAGGCAACCACGAGGTTGTCACCTCAACACATGTTGTCAACAGTGTGTTCGTCACCTTTGACAAAGATCGCACTGTCACACATGAGTTGAATTTCTATATCCTCGACAAGTGTCCCTTCGACGCGGTCATTGGTTTGGGATGCTTAGAGGCCCATTGTCTAAGGACCACGTGGGCGGATACCTAGTTCGTGGTGTTGGGCTTCAAGGGGAACGAGCATACCCTCTTGTTGGACGAGATGCGCGAGTCCCCAGTGACTCTTTTGAGTGCGAACAAATTCTGCAAATAAGTGCGTAAGAGCAAGGAAGGTGAACATTTGCATGTAGCCTTTGTCAAACTTATCCATATGTCGTCTACTTTTGCTACATTCTCTACGGTAACCTCGGAAAAAACTCTACTTGTACTCCATCTACTTTTGTTCCGTCTACTTCGGCTCTAGAAGATAAGTATACTTTTAATCCAAGTACTTCAAATTCGGTTGTTATTGCTGTAAATTCTCAAACTGAGTTTCTCTCTCTTAATGAGGATGATCCTTCACCTGAAGTCCCAGCAATATTCATCGTGTACTAGATCGATTTCTGGAAGTCTTGGTTGAACCTTGTGGAGTCCCTAAGCGTTCGATCAAACACAAGATCGAGATAGTGGAAGGAAGTGTTCCTCCAAAGGGCTGAGTCTATAGTATGGGGCAAGGTGAGTTGGAGGAGTTGAGAAGACAAATTGATGACATGATTGATCGTGGATGGATTAGGCCTAGTGAGTCTGAGTTCGGTGCACATGTCTTGTTTGTGCCCAAGAAAGGAGGCAAACTCTGGATGTGCATCGACTATCGTGGTCTAAACCGTATCACCAGAAAGGACGCTTATACCTTGCCACGCATAGATGATTTGTTGGATGTTGCAGGTGGATGCAAGTTCTTCTCCAAGATCGACCTCAAGTCTGGCTACCACCAGATTGAAGTCGGTCTCATCGACCAACATAAAACTGTGTTCAAGATACTCGATGGGTTGTACGAGTTTATCGTTATGCCCTTCGGTCTCACAAATGCACCAGTCGCATTTCAATGCCTCATGGACAAGGTTCTCCGCCATCAACTCAAGAGGTTTGTTGTCGTTTACCTCAACGACATTCTGATTTTACGCAAGTCCATGGAAGAGCATGTCAAGACCTTGAGGAAGTTTCGCAGGTTCTCAGGGAGGCGAAGTTNGTTTGTTTCCGTTTACCTCAACGACATTCTGATTTTACGCAAGTCCATGGAAGAGCATGTCAAGACCTTGAGGAAGTTTCGCAGGTTCTCAGGGATGCGAAGTTGCACCTCAACTTAAAGAAATTTGAGTTTGGAAGGAACAACGTCATCTATCTTGGGCACCGGTTGTCTGCAAACGGCCTTGACCTTGAGGCAACCAACGTTGAGGTCATATAAAAGTGGCCTCAACCGGTGAATGTACGTGAACTGCGTTCCTTTTGCAATCAAACTTGACTTATTCACACTTTTCATGCACGTGAACAGCAACACAACAAACTGGCGACATGCGCCCACACAGTACTCAGAGATATGGCTTCCAGGTAAGAGTTCACTTCCACTGGCTATGGCGACTGAGCGCCCAACAACCCACTGTTCACACACTCCGGATCACCCTGGATATCCCACACACGACACTCTGCACACTCACACAACACACACACACGTTACGATAGCTATGGCAGCGCTAGCTGCCTCTACCCTATCGCTATACTATGCTTCTCTGCCCACTTCGACTTCGGGCACACTGCAGACCTCCTCGCACAAGACACTGAGGCAGCGCTTCCGCATGGCTTCCGCAGGAATGAATGAATGGATGTGCGCAGCCTCTTGATTTATACTTTTGTGACTCGTTGGTTTGCCCTGTTTCCCTGGCCCACGGTGTACACAGTCCCAGACGGTACTTGCTTGACTGGACCTGACTGGCTGGACTGGGACTGCTAACTCTGCATGGTGGACTTCCACCACTTGCCCACTTGCCTAGACCTACAGTGGGCTGATTTCCGAAAGGCCACTTCTAGAAACCTCTACCTGGCCTTTCAGTACTGTAGCAGCTACAACTCTGCCCTTTCAGGTAAGTAGCAGCTACGACTTTGACCCTTCAGACAGTCTACAGCTACGACCTCTGGACTGTCTAGACTCCTACCCGACAGGTCTACAGTTCAAATCCCCTATACCCTGTGACTTACGATGTCCTACCTACCACTGGCGGTCCTACAGGTCGCAGGTTCAATTCTACGGGTTGACACAGGTACTGTACACAGGTAAGGTGGGGAACTAGGGATCGAGCCCTGGGATCTGCATCAGCTACTGCGAACTAGTGAATACTGTTTCACTCGCGCCGGCTTGAATTCGAGGCCCTCCGAGAATATTTCAGTCCAAGGCAGGACCTTTACCCTTCTTGTCCCGTTCATAAGCGTGCACTATGTCGGGAGCTGTTTCTAGAAGTTCAGATCTAGTAAACCACCGGTCGTCTTCGGGTTCCTGATAAGCAAATCGGACCTTGTACTGTTTCTGAGGACGACCCCTACCCCCTGTTCTAAACACATCTTCACCTACAATGCTGTCAATGTCATACCTTCCATCCATATCTGGTGGGATCATGGATCGTCTAGACGGGAACTGATCACTCACTGTGCATGGCAACAATTTTGACGCATGAAAGACTGGGTAGGTGTGGAGTTGTAGTGGAAGCTCCACGGTGTAGGACGGACCATCCTCGCCACCTTTGAATTCTAGAACTGGCCATGCCCCTCTATATGTAGGCAGTAACTTTTGCGAGATGTTCTCCTCAGGAGCAAACTCTTTAGCGCTGACCCAGACTAAGTCGCCTACTTGGAAATGTGAGGGGCGACGATGTTTGTTGGCTTGCTCTATCATCCTATGTTGGGCCTTCCTGAGGTTCTCTACAATGGTATCTAGTTCTTTCTCGTGCTGTATAGCAAACTCCCTAGTACCGGGCGGTAGCCTATGGATATGATCCCGATTAAGTCCCTCAAATGGTCTGCGCGGTCTGAAGGACTTGTGCAGTTCGTTGGGAGTGTGGCACGTAGACAGAGGCACACTATTGTTGTAAGCACTGGCTACCTTGGGAAGCATCTCATCCCAGTCAACTTGATCTGGCCTAATGTACATTCTTAGAACTTGCTGCAGGATCTTATTCATCTGTTCAGTCTGACCGCTGGTCTCTGGATGACGACCAGATGACATTAGCAACTTAGAGCCATAGACTTTCATCAACTCCTGCCAGTTCTGACTCGTGAACCGGGTGTCTCTATCACTAACTATGGACAATGGGACCCCATGCTCACTGACCCAATGATCAAAAAAATTGCGAATGACTAACTCTGTTCGTGCCTCTGAAGGCAAGGGAACAAAAACAGCATACTTACTGAATCTATCGACTATCACCATGACTTGGCTCTTGTCATATCTACTCTTGACGCCCGCCTCCATGAAGTCGATGGACACTAAATCTCCGGGCTGATCAGGGATAGGTAAGGGTCTGAGAAGACCTAGCGGGGCACGCGCAGTAGTCTTATTCCGTTGGCAGACTTTACAACTGCGAACATATTCTATGCAGTCATTCTTCATACCCGACCAGGTGTACGCGTGCATTAGATTGGCTAGAGTCTTTTGACAACCGAAATGACCCTCTGTGTCGTGACATTCTCCTAAGATCAGACTGCAGATCTCTTCACTATTGGGAATGCACAATCGGTCAAATACATTAGTCTTCTCGAAGAGTAATCCCTCAGTAGTGCGGTAATCTGGCTCGGTCTCTGGGGCCTCCTTTACCTTCTTAAGAAGGTCACTATAGATGGGGTCCTGCGCGTACGCTTCTCTGACCTTTTGCTGAAGGTCTTTCCCGATGTCCAGATAGTGAACTATCGCTCCAAAGTAGTCAGCTCTCCTACTCAGAGCGTCCGCAACTACATTATACTTCCCTTTGACTGGCTTGAGCTCAAAATCATACTGGTCTATCTCTGCGGCCCACCTAGTAAGCTTAGGTGTCATCTTGGCCTGCGTCTTCAACCATCTTAACGTTTCGTGGTCGGAATAGACTTTGAAGTGCCTCCCAAGCAAGTAATGCTTCAAGTGTTTTGATGCTTGCCTGAGAGCGTAGAGTTCCCTCTCATAGGTAGATGTCACAACCTTCTCTGAAGGCATCCTAGCAGACATGAACTCTACGGGCCTATAACCATTGCCATCGTCTTGCTGCAGCACTGCACCTGTACTGGCTAGCGTCCGTAGTGACGACAAAGGGTAAGGACGGGTCGGCTACCTTAAGGATTGGGTATTCTATCAGCGCCTGCTTCAACTTTTTCATGGCAGACGTGCAGTCCTTATCCCACTTCCAGATAGTTTCTTTCCTCAGTAATCTGCGAAGGGGCGCAGCGGTAGTGGAGAAGTTCCTCACGAACTTCCTATAGTAGTTAGCTAAGCCCAAGAACGACCGCAACTCTGTTCGCGTACGCGGCGTGGGCCAATCTCTAATCGCTGCGATGTTGCAATCTTCTGGCTTAACGCCGTCTCCGTCTAAGACGTGGCCTAAATATAAAACTTGGGTCTTCGCCCAATCGCACTTCTTTGCATTGATCTTGAAGTTAGCTTCTCTCAGCTTCTCCAAGACCTGCCTGAGATGGCCCTGATGTTCTTGAAGGGTCTTGCTAAACACTAAGATATCATCTAAGTAGACAACAACAAATCTATCTAACCATGGCCTAAACAAATCGTTCATACAACGCTGGAACGTCGCTGGCGCATTGGTTAGTCCAAAGGGCATCACTATGAACTCATAGTGCCCATATCTAGTCCGGAAGGCTGTCTTATACTGATCATCAGGATGCACCTCTATCTGATGATATCCAGACTTCAAATCTATCTTGGAGAAGTACTTTGCCCCCTGCACTCGATCCAAGAGATCGTCTATCCTAGGCAGTAGCTCAGCATTCTTCACTATAACAGCATTCAGACCCCTGTAGTCTATACACATCCTCAACTCTCCCTCCTTCTTGGGGACAAAGAGGACAGGTGCTCCAAAAGGAGACGAACTGGGCCTGATCCAACCCTTCTCAAGGAGCTCGTCCAACTGTTTGCGAAGCTCCTCTAACTCCCGCGGGGACATTCGATACACAACTCCTTTGGGAGTTCTACTGCCAGGCTCAATTTCGATGCAGTGCTGGATAGGCCGCGACACTACTCCTATCGGCGGCTTAGTTAGATCTTTGAACTCCTCCAGCAGCTTGGCAATCGCAGGGTCTATAGGCTTCTCTTCCGTAGGCTCAGTAACTGGCCTAACATAGGCAACAAAGACCTTTTCCTCCAGTTGCTCCTTTTTCACTAATCTTGCGAACGCAGGAGCACTAAGGCAGCAATGTGCCAGGGGGTTCTCCACTCCTGACACATGGAACAGGTGGGCAGTCTTAGCCTCGCCTAAAGGACTAGGGAGCCTACACTCGTGCTCCTTTAAATGGAGTGTGGCCCCGACTGCCTCTCCCCAATCCATCCCCAGGACGATATCGAATGGGAGGCTGTCTTCTACGCGGAGAGTCAGGGAGTGGAGGACCTTCTCCATCTTCCCATCCTTCTCTGGGCGGAAATACGCCTGGACTCCCTCAACGTAATCCTCTACAACCATGGTACGATTGTCTGCGAGGATACTAACTATGGGGTCTGTTAGTTTCTGGACTTTAAGCCCCAACTTCAATTTCTGCAGCGCTTTCTTACTAATATAGCTGCGGGTGGCCCCTGAGTCTACTAGGGCCCCTACTCTACCTCTAAAAATCTCGACATCTACTAATATGAGCTGTCCTTTTTGTTCCTTTTTCATCTTGGCCCAGGCGGGCATCCTCTCCTTTAATTCCTCAGCCACGCCTGTGAGGGAGGTGTCTAAAGAGACCCTAACACAAGTAGTCTCTGCACAGCTACTTAGACACCGGCCTGCAACCTCTGCCATAGGCTCATGTGGTGTGGGACTCTCCTGCTGGCTAGCGCTAATTTCCCCACATGGCCTAATGGTAGGGGCAGTTGCTACCCCTACCGGCGGCTGCCTTTTGACCCTTGAGCAGCCGCCTGGGCCTCTCTGTACTTAGGACAATATTTAATGATGTGGCCCGGGTCACCGCAGTAGATGCACTGGCCCCGGTCCACACGTTGTTGCCATAAGCCCTGGTCCAGACCCAAATCTTCCCAAGGCCTACCCTGCGGTAGCCCTGGATGCCATCCACCTCTCCTATAGGGGGACCTATTCCTAGGACGGTTTTGCGGGGGACCTTGACCCCTTCCTCCCGCTTGGCGGTTTCCTCCTCTGCCGTCAACCCCCTGATCGCCCTTAAATCGGCCCCCTGAGGCCCGGCCCCCTTGGCCCTGCCCTCGTCCTCCTCCTTGCGGCCTCCCTCCAGCCGCGACAGCAGCATAAGTTCTCCCCTGACTCGCACTGCTGTCCTCATCCTCTAACCCCCACTCTATCTGATCATAGGGGATCTCGTCAACACTACCCTCGTCTAAAGTAAGGACAAGACTATCCTTGGTCTTGACTTGCCCTGAGATAGTGCGACCCTTCCACTTCTTCCCTTTGTCCAAGTCTTTGTGCCAGAAAGTGGAGACTGACACAGACTTTGCCTCAAAGGCCACGACTTCCCTGCTGAGTGCATCGTACGTCATGGCAGGGTCTTGAATCTTCGCGAAAAAGTGGCCACGCAGTGATTCGGGCATAGCCCTGTAGAAGAGGTTGACCAATTGGGTCTATGTGACCCCATGGTCAGGGACAGCCACCCATTCATCCATAACACCCTTGAGTGCCCTGGCACTCTTCCATTGACGATAATGGATGGTCTGAAGCCTATCTGAGGCTTTGACACTGCGAGCGGCATCAGCAAACCGCTCGCGCAACAATTTCATGAACTCAATGAGGGGGGTGAACGAAGAGTAGGCAACTGCATCATCGTTGCAGTTGGCAGAGCGGACTAGAGACCTCGCGAAACTGGCTGCCTCATCTCTAAGCACATGAATAGCTATCAACACATGCTGATCTGGGGAAACCTGCTGCAAATGCACATAGGTCTTCACGTTGGCTTCCCAATTGTCAAAGTTTTCTTCCCTCTTTCCACTGTAGGAATCGGCGAACTTGACTTTGACTGGCTCCCTACGAGGACGTACCTCTTCTTCCTTGGGAGCTGTCGCCTTGATGCCTTCAATGGCGCCAACGCAGAATCGTTCGGTCTTCTCAAGGCGATGGTTCACCTCGGCCCCAACTGCGCCTACCAGTTCACGGGCAAAATCCCGAAACCCCATTCGCATCGAGCGCACGACCATATCCTGACTTCGACTAAACTCATATTGTTGTTCCTGTACTCGGGCCAAATGCTCAACACTCTGGGCAATAATCTCTACCTTTTGTTGGAGGTCTACCTGAGGGGTCAATTGTAGAGTCAGTTTTTGCACCTCCTCTAAATCTTTGACCGCTTCACTCGCCGCGTCCACCCTCTTCTTCTTCTCCCTCATCATCCTTAACTTCCATTCCATCATCTTCTTATCTTCCATTGCCTGCCGCTTCAAAGCATCTCTTTCTGCGTCCCACTCCTTCATGGCAGCCTCCTGCTCATCCTTGGGGATGTACATGGCTACCTCCTCCTCTTCTCCCAAGGACAGGTTGGCAACCCATTCTGAAATCCTCTTCTCCATCTGCCCACTTTTACTGCCACTGTACTGCCCTGGTTGCTCTCTCCTCCTTTGTAGTGGCTGGTCATCTTCCTCTTCTTCCTCTTCCACCTCCTTTAGCTTCTCCTCTTCTTCTTTTTTCAATCTTTCCTTTTCTTTGGCCATCTCCTCCTCTATCTTTTTCAACTTGGCCGCCTGCATCTCCATCAAGGCCTTCTTCTTGGCCTCCTTCTCCTTCCTCTCCTGCAGGATGGCGGCCATCTTCTCCTCCTCCTCCTTTGTGTAAGGTGTAGTGGAGGTACCACCTCGGGTTCCTACTCTACACATGAACGTGGGCCAAAACCCCAGAGGAAAGAGGAGACGCCAGAGGGTTCCCCAAAGGGAGAACCCAACAAGCACACCATACATCGGGTAATCATCCATGGTGTTAGGTGCACGACGAGACTGTCCCACTCCTCACCACTTAGACCAACCCGCAAACTCACTGACTGCCTGACTCTCTAAGGACCACAGGGTAGAACCCTGTCAGCTATGGTCGCTAGCCTAGACCTACTCTAAGGCTGTCACTACTAAACCAAGTGCTGATCGGGAGGCATTTAAGGAGATCCCCCTAACTCCGCAAGAATTCTTTAACGTCGCAGACAGGACGACGTGATCAGCTTGGTTCTTGCCTGTGCTTTCAGCCCACAACTCAGCCTTTC